TATAGATATAGATATAGATATAGATATATAGATATATAGATATATACAGTAGATATATATTACTTATCACCTTTCTGTGCATGTCTTTTGATAGTATGAAAACTATGTTTTCTCACCCCGAATGAGATGAACGCTCCCATAACACTGCCTGCTATGGTGGCAAATCCACCCGTCATAACAGCATGGATCTCAGATTTGGTCATGTCCTTCAAATATGGGCGAATCAACAGCGGAGCTTCAGTCTAAAGTGCACAAACACACGTAAAACAATAAAAAAAACATGCAGTGACTTTGCATTTTTGCTTTGTATAGTTATTTGTGATTGCCTTCTCTTGTCACAAAGCTTCAGTATCAAGAAAACGAGCRTCAAAGTGTTGCAAAGACATGAGGTCTTATCCAGAGTACCTGCCCAACAAATATATTGCCTGCCACACTCAAGGTCTCAGTGGGAGAGGTTCCCATCGTTATCTGCATAACCCATGAGATCTGCGTGGACAAAAAAAAGGGTTACAGGATCTCACTGCACACATAGTGCGACACATACCCAGACCTTCAGGAACATAAAGGAGACTTCAAGGGACATGTTTTTACCTTCAAAATGAGCCACTGCATGACTCCTAGAAAGTAGAGGACCGACATCACGCTGCTGAAGAACACAACAATGGGCAGGGCCTGGGGAGAAAACACAAAGCTGCRTTTAAACACTTTCAAGATCCACACTGAGTGTGCTTGAATCCACGAGTTCACTTACTTGGAAAGCAAAAATGTYAACATGCAGGTCACCAAAAACAAACTCTGACCCTGCTTTAGTGTAGTCCAGGAAAACCTGTGATCACACAAAGAAAAACAAAAATTATTGTTTAGGCCRATTATTTATTTTAACAATCCATGAATAAAAAAAGTAAGAAGTCATTATGTTTTACTACAGGAAATKAAGTTACAGCTGAGTAGTGAGTTGAACTACACTTTAAAAAGTAATTAAGAGACACATGTTCACAATCAGCTTCCTCAACCTTTGGATGGCTTTAAAGTTGTTCTAAAGATAAACTTATATGATCCATTCAGATAAATAGTACTGGACAGTAGTAGATAAGTGGCTATTAGCAAATAACATATGCAATGGGTAATAAATCTGTTTAAAAACATGCATTGGTGTGATGTTTGCAGTTTAGTGTTATTTTCATTCTTTTATTTGTCGTAATATTTTCAAATGTTTTGTTTGAAAGTGAGTACTGGATGTGTATTTTGATGGTTTGTAATAAAGGCACTGGTACTCTGACTTAATAGTGATTTTGTTTTTACAGTAAAATAATATATTTTGGTTAGAAAAATAAAAAAAAATAAGAATATATTTTTAAATGTTGTACCTGCACTTGTTTTCCGAGCCAGTCAAAAGCAACAAGTCCTGGTTGTGTTCTTATAACAAAAAGGCCGATACAGAACTGCAACCCCAGACCCCAAAGCACTGGTCTCCATGATACCTAAAGAAAAGGGAGAGAGGGTAGTAATACATGGTAAATACCTAATAATAGCATCAGCAGTGTTCAAATCATACAACGCAAACATAATATTTTTTTGTTGTTTTAGCATTTTCCCTGTTTTAACGTCATCATTACAAATTGCTACAGTTAAATTTTGTATCTTCCATGTTTAAATATGAGAAATATATTAGAAAATGTATGATTTTAGTTTATATAAGATATAAAAAATTAACCACTCCTACCTGTTGTTTTTATTCTCTTTTGCGGAAGTACAAATTTTGAGTGATGGGGGATCAAACCTTTAATTTACCTCCTAATTCAAACGATGTGTATTGTGNAAGTCACTTGTACAAATATACATATATATGGTTAATTAAATTTCTGCTTCTTCCTACTCTTTTTTAACAAATAAAACAATAGCAAATACATTTTTTTCTTATTTTGTATCTTTGTGTATTTTCTACTTTGAAATTATCCTGTGTGTACTTACTGGGACCATAATGTACTTGTCTAATATGTGTGCATACCCTGGTGCAGGGTACATACCCCATAAGTACTAATGTAGTACCTGATACAACTGTTACCTGATACAGGTCAACTGAAAAATGAATTGCTACCAAAAATAAATTAATAGCCCCACCATGTCAGGTAGTTTCMTTTAATTATAATGTTTTAATAAAGAAACATGTCAGATAAATCTGTAAAAGGCACCAGGCCAAGTGAAATTCAAAGTARCAGATAAGCAGATGACAGATACCTGGACCTATATTAACCAAACACGTTCCAAAACAGCTGTAACTGAAGAGGAAACACATTTCTGATAAGACTTTGACTCAGTGAAAACTCACCATTGCCCTGTGTGCCGAGAACAGGTATAACAGCGCAATAAACATGCACACACCCCCGAAGGAGATAAGCTGCTCGGGACGATTGCTCGTATCTAATACAAGCCACAACACAAGCAGGATAAACACTATTGCAATGAAAACCCTGTGAAACACACAAAAAAGTAGCACAATCCCAAATTACTAACATGCGTCAAACAATAAGTTGGTTTAAAAAATGATAATAAATCCAATCACCATTTTAGCCATTTCAAGTTGGATTTAAAGCATCTGACTGCGGGCTTGAAACACCGACTGATCTTTTTCCCCAGGTACTTCTTGATGAGTTCATAGGATTTGGCAGCAACTGCCAAACAGGTGAGGACCACGAGGGCAGTGGCCCTTTGGAAATCCAGCACACAAGCTGCGATGAAGTACGCCACATATCCTGCAGAAGGAAAACATCCACTTTTTAAAATAAGAAAGGTTTTCTATTCTATTCTATTCTATTCTATTCTATTCTATTCTATTCTATTCTATTCTATTCAGATTTGAATAAACCACTGCCATTTGGTCAGACTTTGGATTACCTGCTCCAAGTACGCCCAGGACAATGTATTTGAGGGGTTTTGAGTGAGCCTTGACATAATTCTCTGTGGCATTAAGTGGCTTGGACACATAACTGGAAAGCAGAACAAGTCACATGTTGAGTCAAACTGTGAAAAAWTATGCTTACATTTTAATTTGTTAAAACTATATTTTGTATTTTCAACAATTCAGTTTTAAATTATTACTATCCAGCTATCCATTCATAATATTCATGCAGAATAACTATTTATGTTTGCAGTGCATCAAGACAAATAGTTTGGCATTAACTAATTCAGTAGCACACACACAGTATCGCACAGTATTTATATATTAAACAAGTCTGCATTGAAATACTGCTTTTACTATAAATGTAAAACCATTTTATTACACAACAGAAACGACTCAAGCTGACAGACCTCAGATATGATCCTAATCCCTTTTTAGATTTTTTTGGCTGACTTTTGACACTGTCAGTGTCAGCAGTGCTCTCCTCCTAACAAAATAAAAGCAACAAATGTATTTTAATATATTGCTTTTATTGAGCAAAAGACAATTAAAAAAAAAGATACATACCTCTATTTCAAAAGCCTGGTTGTCGATGCCATTTTCACTAGTCTGAGCAACATTTTTGAGTTGGGCATTGTCTTCTTCCACTAAAAAAGATAGTTGATCGTTTCAATCCATGAACCGGTGAGAAATACAACTTCATGCAACTTAAACATGCAGGAATGCGATTTCAGGTTGTGCCTCAGTGTGCTCTGAGAGATAAGACTTTCAAAATAAGACCACAGACTGCTMGTGTGCGAAACAATTTTGAACGAAACTGCAACAGAAATGGCATGATTCGAAGAAAAGAAACGCTAATGACTTACTTATTGTGTCTCCTCCTTAACGTAACTGGCAAATGCTGAGTTGTGAAACACCCTGCAAGAAAATGTACTCTGCCCTCTAAACATCTTATTATTAATTAACAGACATTTTTTACAGCTCTTCTTTCTCAGGAAGGACATGACAGAGGGAGGAACCAGTGTCATGAAAAAACTGAACCTACCTGCTATGAAACACATGAATAAACATTATACTGACAATTTTTTTCAGTTTGTCACTTTACTTAAACAGGTGATAAGATGAGAGATGTTTTACAAACTGCTAATATTGGATAAGTGTTGAATTACAAAAGAATTTCTGTCTGATCAAAAACGATCCATCCAAAAGTTAAAAATTACTTAAGCTGATAAATCAGTTTCATAATTGACTAAATAAGGCATTGTTAAAGAAAAAGGTGACATAAAACTAAACTTTATTACAGTTTGTGTTAGGCTGCTGGATGGAAACAGTGAATAAAAGGATTAATGTTTTTGGTTAATAGAAATAAAAAATCATTTTCCTTAAGGAAATTTTGCATATAAATTGCTTAAAAGTCACCATTTTTTATTATTGAAATTTAACAGTTTTTGCCTAAAACTCTGTGACACAGGCACATGTATTCTCAATTAGTAGCAATAAGAACAATTGAAAGCTAAAATACTGAAACGCATATGAGCGGAGCTGGTCTCTTAAACATGTTTTGCTGAGCAGTCTTTATACTTCCTGCGTGACGATTCCTAACAAGGTGATATGGAAGCTTTTTCTGCTACTTTACTGCTCATTTAGTTTATGCACATTAACATCTATTATTCCTTCAAACTGCAGTGATTCTCTGGTTCATAACACACACAGCTTGTCTGTGATGACGAGTAATTTAAGCTTGGAAGTACCACTTTTTGAGTCACTTATTCAACCTTGAATGTGCTGGTACTCATTAGCTGAGATTAATACCCTGATAACAGAACTAACAGCATAGCACAACATGCAGGTTTAACAGCCCAACACATTTTTATGTTCGCTGTCAAACTGTGTAACAGCAGCAGTTTGACGGACAAAGCCTGGAGTTAAACTGTGACCATTTTGAAACAGATATACCCTTTAGTGACACTGTCTGCTGCTAACTATAAATGTAATTTGTATGATAGCTGATAATAAACTGTAGCATGTAGTTCACAATTCATAATATATTCACACACACACACACACACACACACACACACACACACACACACACACAC